TGAAAGTGTTTTGAAAGTCTAAAAGACTAAACATTTATACTGCATTGTTTTACCTCCACTTGATGTGGAAACGGTTAGTTTAATTAGGGAAAATAATAAAAGGAGTCTGCATACTCTTATTCTTCTGGTCTTAGTTCAGAGATATTTAATAAGTACATGTACTAATATACAAGTAATATATCATTATGGTGTATACCTCTCTATACCATTGCTTGTAAACTCTTAGTTACTAAAGGAACATCAATGTGTTGATCTTTTTCATCTTATAATACTATATTAATAAACAGAAAATGATTTCAAGTTAGGTTGGAAATTAACCCCAAATATCACCTTCCTATGTTTGAGAAGCTACCGTATAACCATCTAGTAAGGACAATATACCATACAAGATTGTCTTTTTTTTGTTTGTTTTTCAGAGATGGCGTTTTGCCATATTGTCTAGGCTGGTATCGAACTCCTGGACTCAAGCTATCTGCCCACCTCAGCCTCCTAAAGTGCTGGGATTATAGGCATCAATCACCATGCCAGACCAAGATTAATTCTAGAGATCATTACTATATAAAAAACTGAACAGATTGCAATTTTATTTGTCTTCACTAGTATCATGGGTTTTAAGATAGAAAGAGGTAATTGTGAGTTGTGACCAATGTAATCATTGTTCTTCAACATGCTAGCAAGTCTCTAAAAGCAGCAAACTATAGACAAATGCTGTGTGTTCAATAGTGGGCAGTCGGTTTATGCTAGAACTCCGAAAACATTAAGAACCTGCCTTTTCTTTTTGAGAGCTTTCTTAGGATCATTGGGCTGAGTGAGATTCAGTCAACATTAACTGAGTAATTTTGAGTTTCTTTGAAATGAGATGATGAATATACACTTGAAAATTTAAAAAATGTATTTTTCATAAAATGTAAACCATTACTTTAAAAATAATTGTGTTGTATACAGTTTAAAAATATATAACAATCAATTTAAATATTATTTTTCATTGAAAATAGCTAAATTAGCTTATAGTTGAATTTTAACTTTTTGTTTCAAAGATTTTTCTCATAGCTGTATGATAGATGTCATCTCTGCAGTGCCCTGGTCCCATAAACATGAAATCAGTAACCTCCTGAACTATGGAGGAGAATGCTTGAGTCACCAGAACAGAGATTACTGGAATCAAAATCCACCATCTGCAGTCAAGGAAAAAACAATCTTACCAGCCAAAAGTTGGTTATAAAACAAATCAATCAATTTCAAACTGGCTCCATTTGTGGAAAGCTTTTCTTTAGTTTGTAATATACCAATGAAAATGCTATCCTACTGAAGTATCTTAAGTCTACCATGCAGTTTCTAATAAGGAAGATGGTGAGAGTGAATCTGCTAAAATGTACACAGACCAAAAAAACTAATAAACAGAGTTATACACAGATAGCACTACAATAAAACACCATGTTGTCAATCATATGGCCGTGCTTCCTTCTCTACACATTCTGATACAGTCTTAAAGCTGAGTGGCCCTTAAAAGGACAAGTGTTAAAGAGACATGGTTGTAGAGACAGGAAAGTAGAGCTGTCAACGTTTGTGGTTTGAAGAACTAGTTATAAGTCAAGAACAAATGCAAGGTCAAAACACATTTCTATTGACTGGTTTTCATAGTTTCAGCAAATGTTCTCTCTCTCAGAAAATAAACATTGAACACATTTAAATATCACTTCCTAGATCTTAAAAGATAAAGCATGCAAACATATTCAACAACACCTAGCTTTTTAAAACATATGAACTGTTGCTTATTTAACATTAATGACTGATTACTCAAAAACTGGTGCATAGATCAAATTTTGCTAGTGCTTAAGCGTCTGGTTCACAGATTTGGCCATTAGAATCAAACAGTGGTTCATTTCAGAAACAGATTTATTCATTAGAAAAAGACAAAAGATAGCCTGGCAGTCAGAGATAATTTTGGATATTAACATTTTTTAAATTTTCAAGTGTATATTCATCATCTCATTTCAAAGAAACTCAAAATTACTCAGTTAATGTTGACTGAATCTCACTCAGCCCAATGATCCTAAGAAAGCTCTCAAAAAGAAAAGGCAGGTTCTTAATGTTTTCGGAGTTCTAGCATAAACCGACTGCCCACTGTTGAACACACAGCATTTGTCTATAGTTTGCTGCTTTTAGAGAATTGGTAGCATGTTGAAGAACAATGATTACATTGGTCACAACTCACAATTATCTCTTTCTATCTTAAAACCCATGATACTAGTTTGAATCTATCTCTTCCTTTTTCCTTCACTTTCTCCTTTATTTCCTTCTTTCTCTCTCTCTCTTTTCTTCCTTCCTTAAATGGAAATGCATCAAATGAGAATATTTATGTTAGAAATCAAAGGAAAATCGACATTAAAATTGCTAACTGATACTTGGTAATATCACTTGTGTTGTTAAATAACTATTGAGCAATTGTATTATTCTATTTTACATGTAATATTGGGCCAAATAGGTTTGGTAGATCTGTCAACTAAATACATATTTGGATTATCATTTACAGGCATGTGTTTATTTAAGCATTTTCAGTAGTCCCCATGATTCCAGTCAACTAATAAATATTAGAACACTGTATAAAACATGCTTTCAAAAATGTAGGGCCCTTCTTATTTACTCCTGATAAGATACTCACTAAATCTCTAAATATTGCCTCTCAGTTTATGAATATCTCTATGTTCCTGTCAAAACAAAACCTAAATTACTGTGTGTATAAGGAGGAGAATAACAACGAGAGTACACAGAAATGATTGCATTTCGGAGTCTGCATTTTCTTTCCTCACTCCCTTCCCCACTACCCCCTACAGAGCTAATATGCTGAGAAGTACATTGTTTGCTCTTTATTTGCCACTTACGTCTGACTAGCTTTCTTTACCTCAGAACCAGTGCTTTCTAGAAAATACGAGAACTGGGTACCCATCATTTTGTCTAAGTACTGTGAAAAGAATTATTGAATAGGTCCAGATAAAATGGCCAAACTATCACAGTACGCCTCAGACAAAGCTGTGCCCAAACATCACTGATTCCAGGAAATCATTCCTTGTTTTTCTATCTTAACTGCATTGCCATTGATGCCTAAAGTGATGGAATAATAAAAAGCAAACAATCACAACTGCTACAATGAACTATTTTAGCAAACGTGGAGATCACTAAATATCTTCCAATAATTATCTGCTCTGACCTCCATAGTAATACAGTTGTTTCCGCGAAGCCACTGCCTAGACAGAGATGACAGTTCCCAGCTGCTCTGGCAGCTTGGTATAAAGATATGAACAGTTTCCACACTGGAATGGAAGCAAAAATGGCCTGCACCACTTCCAAGATGGAACCTCAATAAAAAGATGTTGTACCTCCCTCAACATGCCCTTTACTACCAGAAAGTTAATGAGAAGAGTGACCCTGGAAGAAAATCTGCTGAAGATGGCAGAACCACTTTCAGTCTAGTCCCTCAATGACTAAGGAGAGCGGTGCCACCTGTCACAACACAATGAATTATTGCACGAAAGGGAGATGAACTTTCAGTCACTGAATATTCAGGCCCTTTCTTGTTATAACAACTAGAATTGTGTTTTCTAAAGGAGCAAAAGTAAATTGTTAAAAGCAATTTTAACACCAAATGCTTGCATGGATGTGGAGCAAAAGGATCTCTCATCATTGCTGGTGGGAATGTAAAATGATATGGCCATTTTGAAAGACAAATTATTACAAAGATTAACACATTCTTACCACATGATCCAGCAAGTTCACTTATTGATATTTACAAAAGTGAACTGAAAGCTTATTTCCACACAAAAACTTGAACACAGATGATTACAGCATTTTTATTCATAATTGTCAAATTTGGAAACAACCAAATTTGCTCTCAAAATAGGACGCAAATTTGGTAGGTGAATAAATAAACTGTAGTAAATCCAATCACCTACTAAAAAACATCCTGGTTGTTCCCAGTATGTACTATAATACATCCATTCAATGAAATAGTATTCATCAATAAAAAGAAAGGAGCTATCATTTAGCTGAGAAAAAAAGTCAAGAAAGCAATCCCATTTACAGTAGCTATAAAATAAAAATAAAAATAAAAAAATATAGAAATAAATTTAGTCAAGGAAGTGAAAAACTACAAGGAAATCTACAAAACTCTGATGAAAGAAATTGAAGAGGACACAAACAAATAAAAAGACATTCCATGATCATGAATCAGAATAATTAATAGTTAAAATTACCATACTGCCCAAAGTAATTATGGATTTGATACAATAGCTACATGCAGAATGAAACTGGACTCCTGTATTTCACCATATATAAAAATCTAATCAAATAGATTAAGAACTTTAAAAATAACCTGAAAATATAAAATTACCAGAAGAAAACATTTCAGGGCATTGATTAGGCAAATCTAGGCAAAGATTTTATAGATAAGACCTGGAAAGAACAGGCAACAAAACAAAAAATAGACAAATAGGACTATACTAAACACAAAAGCTCCTTCAGAGCAAAGGAAACAATGGAGTAAACAGACAACCTGCTGAATGGGAGAAAATATTTACAAAGTGTTCATCTGACAAGGAACTAATGTCCAGAAGATATGAAGAACTGAAACTACTCAATAGTAAAACAAAGCAAAAACAATCTCATCAAAAAGTGGGCAAAGGACATGCATAGACAATTTTCAAAAGAAGACATAAAGGAGCCAAAAATATATTTGAAATGCTCAACAACACTAATCATAAGGGAAATGCATTCCAAACCATAATGAAATATTATTTACCCCAGTTAGAATTACTATTGTGAAAAATAAATAAATAACATTCTGGTGAAGGTATGAAGAAAAGGAAACTGTTATGTGCTCTTGGTGGGAATGCAAATTAGTACAACCACTATGGAAAACAGCAGGGAGATTTCTCAAACAACTAAAACAACAACTACCATATGATCCAGCAGTTGCACCTTGAATATTTATCCAAAGGAGAATAATATATCAGTATAGCAAAGGGATACCTGAACTCTCATGTTTATTGCAATACTATTCACAATAGCCAAGACATGCAATCAACCTAAGTTTCCATTAACAGATAAATGGCTAAAAAATGTATACACGATGGAATATGATTCAGCCATAAAAAAGAATAAAATTACTGTCGATAGTGGTTCATGCCTGTAATCCCAGCACTTTACAAGACTGAGGCAGGAGGATCACTTGAGTTTGGGAGTTTGAGTGCAGCCTGGGCAACATGGTAAGGCCTCATCTCTACTAATTTTTTTTTTTTAAATTAGCTGGGCATGGTAGCACCATCCCTGCAGTTCCAGTTACTCATGAGGCTGAGGCAGGAGGAGCCCAGGAGTTCAAGCCCATGAGTTCCAGGATGCAGTGAGCTGTGATTGTGTCATTGCACTCCAGCCTGGGCAAAAGTTAGACCTTGTCTAAAAAATATAAAAGGATAAAATCATATAAGTTGCAGCAATATGGATGGAACTGGAGGGAAGTATGTTAAGTGAAACAAGTTAGGCCCAGAAAAACCATATTGCATGTTCTCATCCATATGTGAGAGCTAAAAAGGTTGATCTTACAAAGGTAGTGACTAGAATGATAGACAACAGAGGCTGAGAACAGCATTTGGTAAGGAAGGGGCATAAAAAGAGATTGGTTAGTGGGTAAAAACATACAGTTAGAGAGAAGGAATGAGTTCTAAAGTTCAAAAGCAGATTAGGGTTACTATAACTAACAATGTATAGTATATCTTAAAATAGAAGAGAGGATGTGAAATGATCCCAACACATAGAAATGATACATATTTAAGGTGATAGAAACCCCAAATACCCTAATTTGATTGTTATATGGTAAGTGCATATAACAAAACATAACCTATATGTACCATAAATATGTACAAATATTTATCTCAATAAAAATAAAAATAATGATTCAGAGAAACCCCCTTTACACACACACAATGAAGAAAATGAGCTATCATGCCACAAGAAGACATGGAAGAACTAAACATGCATATTGCTAAGTGAAAAAAGCCAATAAGGAAAGGACACATTACTATCGGATTCCAACTATATGGCATTTTTAAAGAGCCAAAACTCTAGAGACTACTAAAAGGTCAGTGGTTCTAGGGTTTCCAGGTGAGAGAGGAAGGAATGAATAGATAAAGAACAGTGGATATTTAGACGTAAAACTATTATAGTAGCAGATACGTGTCATTATACATTTGTAAAAATCCATAAACTTATACCACAAAAAGTGGACCCTAATAAAAAACCATGGACTTTAGTTGATAAAATTCCAACAGTGATTGTTCAGGAGTTGTAACAAATGGATCTTACTAATAGATGTAAGTAACAGGAAAGTGCGTGTGTGATAGAAGAGTTGGGGTATGCAGGATTTTCTGTACTTTCTGCTAAATTTTCCTATAAATCTATAACTACTTTAAGTCTATTAATTTATTTTAAAATTTATGTTTGCTTTTATCTATAACCACAGACAACACACATAGACTTGCACAGACGGCTGGCTGAGGTGAGAGGCATAACAATGTTACTTAAATTGACAGAAAGACGTGATGAAAATAGAACAAGGCAAACATGAAAAGAGAATTGAAGAATTAGTGAGACAGCAGTGAGAGAACACAATGCCTTTAGGTTTAGATAGAAAGGAAGATTTAGATCCTTGAGGAATCGCCACACTGTCTTCCACAATGGTTAAACTAATTTGCACTCCCACCAACACTGTAAAAGTGTTTCTATTTCTCCACATCATTTCCAACATCTCTTGTCTCCAGATTTTTTAATGATCACCATTCTAACTGGCGTGAGATGGTATCTCAATGTGGTTTTGATTTGCATTTTTCTGATGACCAGTGATGATGAGCATTTTTTCATATGTTTGTTGGCCTCATAAATGTCTTCTTTTGAAAAGTGTCTGTTCATATCCTTTGCCCACTTTTGAATGGGGTTGTTGTTTTCTTGTAAATCTGCTTTAGTTCTTTGTAGATCCTGGATATTAGCCCTTTGTCAGATGGGTAGATTGCAAAAAATTTTTCCCATTCAGTTGGTTGCCAGTTCACTCTATTGATTGTTTCTTTTGCTCTGCAGAAACTCTTAAGTTTAATTAGATGCCATTTGTCTATTTTGGCTTTCGTTGCAATTGCTTTTGGTATATTAGTCATGAAGTCCTCGCCTATGCCTATGTCCTACCTAGGTTTTCTTCTAGGGTTTTTATGGTGTTATGTTTAAATCTTTAATCTATCTGGAGTTAATTTTAGTATATGGTGTAAGGAAGGGGTCCTGTTTCAGCTTCCTGCACATGGCTAGCCAGTTTTCCCAACACCATTTATTAAACAGGGAATCTTTCCCCATTGCTTGTTTTTGTTCAGGTTTGTCAAAGATCAGATGGTTGTAGATGTGTGGCATTACTTCCAAGGCCTCTGTTCTATTCCATTGGTCTATAACTCTGTTTTGCTATAAGTAACATGCTGTTTACAATACCAAAGTCCTGAAACCAACCCAAATGCCCATTGATGATAGACTGGATAAAGACAATGTGGCACATATACACCATGGAATACTTTGTAGCCATAAAAAAGGATGAGTTCAGGTCCTTTGTAGGGATACGGATAAATCTGGAAACTATCATTCTCAGCATACTGACACAAGAACAGAAAACCAAACATCATATGTTCTCACTCATGGGTGGTTATTGAACAACGAGAACACATGGGCACAGGGAGGGGAATATCACACACTGCGGTCTGTTTGGGGGTGCAGGATAGGGGAGGGACAGTGTGGGATGGAGAGGTTGGGGAGGGATAACATTGGGAGAAATTCCTGATGTAGGTGACTGGGGGATGGAGGCAGCAAACCACCATGGCATATGTGTACTTATTCAACAATCCTGCAAGATCTACACATGTACCCCAGAACTTAAAGTACAATAATTTTTTTTTAAAAAAAGAGAATATTTAGAACCGGACATCATGGCTGGAATCTCATTTTAGCTATTATTATCTGCTCATGAAAGAGTAGCAAACTCCTAGCTACCACCAGGAGTGATACCACTAGGTCTCCCAGGATATCTGTGTTTTCTATGATTTCTTCAAGTTTAATCAGTCAAGCCCTGTACCAACAGCCTAAACCACATGCAAACATAATTCAAACATAAAAAAGCAATAGAAATTAGAACCATCACTTTCACAGTCATCACTTTCACAACCATGGTTTTTCATAGTTTCAAATTGTATAGCAAAAATCATCTGAGCAATATGTATAAGCTACTAGTGAGTTTCTGAATAACACTGAAATGCTTAGGAAAGACGAGGAGTGCATATTTCCTTGACTTAACCAGCCTAAAAATGAAGTAGACTTTGTTAGCACTTGAACCAAATTTTTTGATGCATACATAGTTTGTTAGCTTCATGGTTTGTCTCCGTCTTACGCAACATTCAAGGATTGGTTATAAATGACTGGTGTGCTTTACTTTTTTTTTTTTTTTTTAGATTAGTAGTTTTCTGCTAAGTTTTCAAACGTTATAGATGGTATAGTTGTTTTTTAAATAATTTTTTAAAAAATATTTCTTTCATCTTTTTAAGAGATCAGAGTGCATAGAATGGGTAGGTTGTTTTTTGTGATGTGGGTCAGCAAAACTACTGTCTGAGAAGATAGCACAATTTCTATTAAAAAATTTTAGCACATTTGGGTTGGTTCCAGGTCTTTGCTATTGTAAACAGTGCTGCAATGAACATTCGTGTACACATGTCCTTATAGTAGAATGATTTGTAATCCTTTGGATATATACCCAGTAATGGGATTGCTGGGTCAAATGGAATTTCTATTTCTAGGTCCTTGAGGAATCGCCACACTGTCTTCCACAATAAGGACTTAAAAGAAATCACACATATGATAAATTCTCAATATCATATAAAGCTACAATTATTTAGATGCAATCTTAGTATTTCCAAGGAACTTAAGATAATGTAAAGAGAAAGGGGGGAGGGAGGGAAGGAAAGAAGAAAAGGAGGGAGGGAGGGAGGGAAAGAATGAAGTATATAGAAGTATATACCACCACAAGGGGAATAAATAATACCTACTTTTAAATCAGAAATAAGATAAATGAAGCTCAGTTTGTTCTAAATGGTTAAAATCACAAAGACAAATTTTAATATTGTTGACTCACAGGAATAAGTATCATTGCTTCCAAAGTGGGTTGATAATAATATTCATAGATTATATTAGCCCAGTCACCATAAATGTGCACTGGACTACTTCAATTATGCTGGCACTCTTTGAGTGCCTGACCAGCAAACCCAAAGATAAGTCCAAAAAAGATATGAGATCAAAATGGTGGCCAATAAACTGGTGTCTAGTGGAACCAGAAGTATAATTTAATAGAACAACTAGAACAAACAGCATCTGAAATTTCAGCAAAACACCTCATTTGGTGTATAAATTCCTCCAGAACAAATGCTAAACAGAAGAAACCAACTTGGTGTCATTCTGCAGTGGATCAAGAAAGGATCATTTAAGCCAACTTTAAGATAGTAACTATATTGTCAATGGTGTGTATATTAGTTTGCCTTCTGTATCTGCTTATAACAACTATTACACACCTGAATGAATTATTAGCTATAGACCCCTCTAGATTAATTTCTAGCACTGTCTCTAAGAAATATATGGATTTAAAGTCTAGAACTGGAAAAATGGTTTTGTTTTGTCTTTTGAGTATGGAGGCATCACTATCATCATTAATGATTTTATTGAGTAAATTAACAATATTTACAGAGATAAATGTTACTAAGGAATTCCCATTCAGAGGATTAATGGTAATTAATATATGCTATAGAGTTAAAGTGAACTACAAAGATATATCATACCCATTAATCAGGTTCACCTTCTTAATTTATTCAACCACTTTGGATGTCCAATCATTAACAGAGTTATGGCCAATGAATGAGGATTTAGCAAGTAGGTGAGATCCCCAAAAATGTCTCAAAGAGCAAGTTGAAGTTTATTTTCTCACTAAATAGAAAAATTTTATCTTTACTCAGGAAGAAATACAAACCTATTTCTGTTTTGAAAAATGAA